AGCAAATTGCATTCGTTAATTTTAATTAATTTACAGTTTTATTTTAGAATAATCTCATCCATCTTTTGGTTAAAGTGTTAGGATTTAATTAATTGTTTAGTTTCGTTGTTAAAGAAAATAAATTAAGAATTTAGACCACTATAATTTGATGAGAGATCAACCATGGGAGTAAACTTATCACTAGCTATTAGTGATTCATGTGCTTGCGAGTATTAAATTTGCACATCAAGATTTTGGCGCCGTTGCCGGGGAATTGACGTTTAAATTCTATATTTGTTTTCTTAGTTTTGTTTGAATTTTGTTTTGTTTTTGTTTTTGTTTTTGTTTTGTTTTGTTTTGCTTTGTTTGAATTTTTCTTGGTTTTGTTTCAGGTATATGCAAGGTCGAAGGTCCTTAGGAGGAAACCTTGTACCACCAATTGATAATATTCATAGGATAAGGGAGAATTTGCAGAAGATAGTTGAAGAACATCCTGAGGACATCTTTGAAGAAGAGCCATTACATTCTGAGGACGAAAAGGAAAACTTTGAAGAAACAAAAAACATGGAGCCAACAGGGAACCAAAGGACGATGAAGGAATATGCAAGGCCAATCATTGGGATTGCCATATCTTGCATACAATTGGGGGAAGTAGCAAGGAATTATGAGCTGAAAAATATCCATTATAGCATGTTGCCTTCTTCTACAGAGTTTCTAATGAAGATCCATTGACGTTCATAAGAGATTTTTATGCTATTGTGCAAACTTTTCCATTGCAAGGACTCAGTGAGGATCAATTGAGGATGAGATGTTTTCCCTATACCTTGAATGTAATACTTTCTCTCTAGTTAGTATACTCGGAAAATAAACAATATTATAAGAAAATATATAAATATAGATGAGTATGAAATAATGGGCCCATAATTAATTTTTCTTTATATATAAATCTTTACATAATATACTAAAGTCACAAATTAGTATCTCGACAGTGTCGCCAAACCCTTGCGCTTCTTGATGTTCCATGTGACCGCGTCTCACTTACTACCTGCAAAAACATTGAAAACAATGGGGTGAGAACTAATTTCTCAGTAAGTAAACCCGCTATGTTACCCTTCTCTCTCTATTGCTTAAATGCTGAATTTCTTTCCTTACATCACACTTCTCTATTCTTCTCTGTTCTTTCTCTATTCTTTCTCTATTCTTTCTCTGTTCTTTCTCAATTTCTAATTTCTCATTAGATAATAGGCATGGTATTTTGCATAGATATGATGCAAATGCACAAATGCATAGAATGTGCATTTTCTTTTCTATTTTTCTTATTCTGTTTTCTTATTCTGTTTCTTTTTCCGTATTTCTTTCTTTCTTTCTTTCTTTCTTGCCGATCGGACTCGGTTGAGGCATGGATTTGGAACCCTGGCCGTGTGAGTGTATTCTCTAATTCTGGGTTCATTCCTCATCCACATGCACTTCTAACAGACTGTACAATTCTTCTTTCTGAATTCTGAGGCCACTCACTAAAGGCGGCGTGCATGCGGGGCTATGTCACTCTCGAGTTCCCCATCCCAACAACCTTCTCTTCTTTTATCTTTTTACACTTCTTTAAATAAAAATTCAGATTTGAATTTCTTTAATATTCTCATTTCTTTCTATTTACTCTTTAATATTCTTTAATGCTTTTTCATGCTCTCATGAGTATGTATGCATGTAGATGGTTCATGCTTATAATTCTTTCTAAATTCTCATGTTTAGATGCAATAATGCAATATGGAATGCAAACATGTGATTCTCTACCATCTACTAGCTCATCTCAAAATAACACATAACCATACTCATACATGCACTTCTCTTTGACATTTCATCAAACAACTTATGTGCACATCTAAGCTCTAAATTGGCTACACTTCTACTTCTTTTCTAAGCCACCAAAATTTGGAACAAAATCTTCCAAGATTAACGCCAAACCTGTCCAAATGCAGACTCCATAATTTCTACTCCAATTCTTCCAAATCATCCAAACTCTCATTAAACATCAAATACACAAACACTACTTCTTCTCATGGATAAGTTCTAACCTCATACAACCTCAAATCCATCAACAATTCTTCATAAAACACATATATGCATAAAAGAAATTCTCTACACAATATTGCTATCATAACTAGGGTACGATTTACTTACTTAGATGTGAGCAATGTAACAACTGCTGTAAACTAATATAATGCATGCTAATAACAATAGAAAATTGGCCCAAAAATTTTCCTTTTTATTATAATTCATACGTCTTTTAACTCAAGAATGTCAATTACAAAAATGCCATTTTAAAAGACAAAACAGGGGAAACAGGTGAGCTATTGCTCCTCGCTTGCCGACGCCCCTCCGACTGCATCATCACCTAGATCCTGCATCCACAAAGGAAAATAACGGGGTGAGCACAAAATAATGCTCAGTAAGTAAAACCCTCTATCTGTCTATCCCCGTATGTATTACTCTAATTCTTTCCTCACACTTCTATTGTTCCTAATAACTCATGGCCTCATCTTACCGGAGGTACGGCCGGATGGCGTTCACACAACACCATCTCACTCTTCATGACTATCGGGTAGAATTCACACTGCACCAACCCGTTTCTAGTGACTACCAAGTGGGGATCACGAAGCACCTACCCGTTTTTCGTAACTATCGGTGAGACCACATAGCACCTACCCGTTCCTCATGAATTCGGGTAACGATCACAAGCATTAACCCGTTCTTAATCACTGTCGGTGATGATCACAAAGCATCAACCCATCTCTAATAAATATCGGTGATATACACAAAGCATCAACCCCTTCTCTAATAACTAACCGGGTGGTCACAAAGCATCCACCCGTTTCTAATACCCATCGGGTGATGATCACCAAGCATCAACCCATTCTACTGCTATTCGGGTGGTGATCACAAAGCATCAACCCGATTCTCATAACTGTCGGGTGATGATCACAAAGCATCAACCCATTTCTAATACTCTTCTCATTCACTCTAGTCTAGCACTTCTCATTCTCTCTACCCTTGAGTAGTTGCTCCACAAAGTTCTCTACTCATAGAGCAAGTGCATACACAAAGTTTCCTACTCTTTCTTAGGTCACTTCCAATGCACAATTAATGCCTATGGATGGTTCATCTCCATTATGCACTTATGAAATGCCAACTGCAATGTTGCAATAATTAAGGTTTATTACTGTACTCAAACCTCTATTAGGCATTTCATCAAAACACTAAGTGCATAATAAACTCTACTATAACAATAATTCTAAGTCTTTCTCTAACCATCCAAAATGGGGAGAAACCCCTCACATCCATAAATCCTGCCAAAGAAGACATTTCCAAAAAGGATTCTCAATATCCTTTAATTTAATCTCAAACTACCTTTCCAACCCACATGCATTTCTTAATGCAAGTATAAACAACCAAAAAGCACTAGAAATCTCTATTTAAGCCTCAATAACATGTATATAATATACTAAGTGCTATCAAAACCCTAATCAAGAAAATTCCCAAATCTCAACTTGGGTTAGGGTTTACTTACCTTGTTATGGAGAATTTCACTAACTCTTCCTTTCACTTGGTTTGCTTGACTTTTCTCTACTCTTAAACAAATGACAAAAACCCTCAATATCATATATACTAAAACTCACAAAGCTTCACAACCAAGCAAGAGTCCTTACCTTAGGATGCCTTAGGTTGATTTCTACCCTTAATCACTCCAAAAGCCCTTTAAAACTCCTTGATCAAAATAAAGAGAATTTGAGAGAGAAGCAAGAGAGGAGAGTGGCGATGGATAAGAAAATGAAGGGTTTGCAATGACTTAATTCCTTTTATGAAATTTATACCAAGCATTCCCATTTTGCCCTTACTCTTCTTTGGGAATTCTATCTATATCCTTTGATTCATTACAAACACACCCCCATAGCAACATATTCTCCATGAAAATTCCTTACATTTTACTCCCCACTTTTCCTGCTAATTAGGGGTAGAATGGTCAAATTGCCCTTAGGGAAGAAAATATCTAAAACTTAACAAACATTTTGGTCGGCCTGTCGCCGCGGCGAGGAAACTTCTGTCGCCGCGGCGAAACTGTCCAGCAGCTTCCTCGTGGCTTCAACACCTCTTCGCCGTGGCGAAGATTATTCTTCGCCCCGGCGAAGCATAAAATACTGAACTTCTTCTATTTTCAACCAATTTCAGGGCAAGTATTCAACATAACACTCAATCAAAGGTCAACCAAACAATATTACCAAGAAACCAACTCAAATAAGAGCAAAAGAAGAAACAATAACTACGTACCTCAAGTGGGGCGTTACAAGCAATCCAACACTTTAACACTCTTCTTTGATCCAACTCTCTTTCTTTTAAATCCTATGAACACAAATCATCAAAATTCAACACTTTAAAAATTGAAACTCACTTCTTAGTGCTAGGATCTTACCTAAGGATGTTTGGGATTGAAATTCCACTAAAAATAACCCAAAATCTATGAATTCCCCTTGAAAAAGAATTGAAGAAATTGAGAGAATTTGGGGATGAAGGTGGCGTGAGAGTGGAGGAAGAATGGCTAGGGTTTCATTTTTCCACTCTTGATGTAACATAATATTATTTATAGTTTCCCATTTTACCCTTGCACTTTCTATGAAATTCCATCTATGTCCCTTAGTCAATTACCATAATGCCCTCATTTTTATTGCATTCTTCATGAAATTCTATCTCTTTTCACTCCCCACATTTTCAACTAATTATGAGTGAAAAGACCATTTTACCCCTAATGACAATTTAAGGGTTTTTCTTCACACTTGTTTAAGATAACTTTAATAAAATTTAACTAAGGGTATTAGGGCATAAGTAAAACTACGTACCTCGATGTGGGCGTTACACTGAAGGATAGAGCTAAAGCTTGGTTTATGACTCTTCATCCTGGTTCATTTACTACATGGGAGGCGGTTTACAATAAATTCATGGGAAAATTTTACTCTCATCAAAAGACCGTTGACTTGAGGACCAAGATTGCAACATTTTCTCAAATGGAGGGAGAGCCTTTTCATGAAGCATGAGACAGATTTAAGTTGCTTCTCATCCAATGTCTTCATTATCATTACCCGTTTAATTACAAAATCAGGTTTTCTATGAGGGATTTACACAATAATGTCAATATATGGTGGACAACGCCGCTGGTGGAGCAATGGGTGAGAAAACTTCTACAAAAATGTTTGAGCTATACGAGATGTTGGGTGCTAATTCCCAACAAGAGAGTGTGAGAGGAAGAAGAGTTGGAGTACATGAATTAAGCTCCAACAATGAGATGGCTATGCAAATTGCTAATTGACTAAGCAAGTCAAACTTCTGACTACCAAAAATACAGTGAATAATGAGGTATGTGGAGTTTGTGGTGTTTTAGGGCATGGTGCTAACACTTGTTCTTTGTCTTATGACTCTTATGCAAGGAATGAACCAGAACAAGCCAATTTGATGGAGTCTTACCAACCTAAGCCTAGGAATGATCCTTATTCAAACACTTATAATCCTGGGTGGAGAAATCATCCTAATTTCTCCTGGAAAACTAATAATAATCCTGCCGTTACTCAAAACCCAAGTCCTAGTCAATTTCCAAACCAAGCCATACCACTTAACCAACCTAGAAATCCAACCTTGGAAGAAAGCTTGAATGCCTTTATTCAAGTTAGTAGAGAAAAGAGAAATAATCAAAGGCTGGATTCTCTAAAAGCATCTATGAAGAGGGTAGCAGTGCAAGTTGGGCAACTTGCGAGTCAACTACAAGGACATCAACAAGGAAAGTTACCGAGTCAACCTGAGCAAGCGAAGGCTATTACAATCCTTCAAAGTGGTAAGATTTTAAATAAAGATTTTGATAATAAAGATTCTAATGACTTACCACATGATGCAAAAAATTGGGACAAGGAGTGTGATTGACAAGAAATTCCTAAGGAAGTGCAAGAAAAGGATGTTCAATCATCCAAACCAATCAACAAGGATGAAGGAACAAAGGATTTTTGCTCACCAACAGTCCATGAGGTGATGGAGCCTTATAGACCTCTAATTCCTTATCCAAATCGACTAAAAGACAATAAACAAAATAAGCAATTTTCTAAAATTTTTGATATGCTTTCTAAAGTTAACATTAACTTGCCTCTTTTGGATGTTATTAGGAATATGCCTTCCTATGCAAAGTTTTTCAAGGAATTGATTACCAAAAAAAGGAGACATGGGAAGAACAAGAAAGTCATGGTTTCAGAAGTTGCTAGTGCGACGTTCCAACAAAACTTGCCTCTTAAATTGAAAGATCCCAGAAGTTTCAACATAAACATCACCATGGGAGACAAGAAAATCAAGAAAGCTATGCTAGACGTGGGAGCGAGTATCAATCTCATGCCTTACTCAATACTTACAAATAGGTTTGGGGGAGTTTAAGCCATCAACTATGACCCTTCAACTTGCGGATAGATAGGTCAAATAGCCAAAGGGGATAGTTGAGGATTTGTTGGTGCAAGTTGACAAGCTGATTGTTCTCGTCGACTTTGTGGTTTTGGAGATGGAAGGAGTACCTTCAAAGGACAAGGAACATACAATTTTGCTTGGTAGACCATTCATGGTGACAACCAAGACAATTATAGATGTCCATAAAGGGAAGTTATCCATGACAGTCTTGGGAGAGATTGTTGAATTTAAAGTGTTTGGTTCCCTACCTGTTCCTTCTACTTCTACTTATGATGAGTGTTCTTTTATTGATTGTGTGGACTCACTTGTTTGTGACACTTATTTGCTAGAGAAGATAGAAGATGAGCTTAAAGTTGCACTAACGCTTGATAGGGTAGAGGAAACACTTGATGAGGAAACTAATAAGGGATTCCATGAGATACTAGATAGAGCAATTCCTATTTTACCACAAGAAAAGTCTAGTAAACCCTTAGAGTTACCAACATCCCCACATAGGGACGAACCTAATCCACCTAAGCTAGAGCTTAAAGAGTTACCTAAGCACCTTAAATATGCATTTGTGGGAGAGGGAGATACTTATCCTATCATAATTTCAGCAAAACTTGACCTGAACCCAAGAAGAGCGATTAGTAAGGGAGCTTAGTAGGCTTAGGAAAGCTATAGGTTGGAGCTTAAGTGACATTAGGGGTATTAGTCGTGCAATGAGCATGCATAAGATAATTTTAGATGACGATGCCAAACCTATTAGAGAGGCCCAAATGAGACTAAACCCTAACATGCAAGAGGTAGTGAAAAAGGAAATTTTAAAACTCTTAGACGTAGGAGTAATTTATCCTATCTTTGATAGTAAGTGTGTTAGTCCTGTTCATGTAGTGCCAAAAAAACTAGGCATTATTATGGTGAGAAATGAGAAGAATGAGTTAGTTCCTACTAGGATGACTACTGGGTGGAAAATGTGCATTGACTATAGGAAACTAAATGCTGCCACTAGAAAGGACCATTTTCCACTTCCTTTCATTGATCAGATGTCAGAGAGATTAGTAGGGCATTAATTTTACTGTTTTCTTGATGGTCTTTCAGGTTATTACCAAGTTCCTATTGTGCCAAAAGATCAAGGGAAGACAACATTCACTTGCCCGTTTGGGATGTTTGCCTTTAAAAGGATGCCATTCGGTTTATGCAATGCCCCTGCCATATTCCAAAGATGCACGCTGTCAATATTTTTGGATATGGTGGAAAAAGTCATCGAGGTATTTATGGATGATTTTTTAGTCTTTGGAACCTCATTTGATGATTGCTTGCATAAATTGACTCTTGTACTTGAAAGATGCATTGAATGTAATTTAACACTTAGTTGGAAAAAGAGTCATGTCATGGTTCAGCATGGCATTGTATTAGGACATGTGATTTCTAGTAAGGGTATTGAAGTTGATAAAGCAAAAATTGTGTTGATTGCTAAATTGCCACCCCTAACTTCGGTAAAGGGTATTAGGAGTTTCTTAGGACATGCAAGTTTTTATAGGCGATTCATTAAAGTTTTTTCTAAAATAAGTTTCCCATTATGTAACTTGTTATCTATAGATGTTCCTTTCTTGTTTGATGATGATTGCTTGATTGCTTTTAATACCTTGAAAGAGAAATTAACATCAGCACCTATTATCATGGCACCTAATTGGTCATTGCCTTTGAAATTATGTGTGATGCATTTGACTATGCTATAGGAGTTGTTTTGGGGTAGAGAGTGGAGAAGCGTTTACATGTTATCTATTATACTAGTAGAACACTCAATGATGCCCAATTAAATTATTCCACCACCGAAAAAGAATTTTTGGCTATTGTGTTTGCATTAGAAAAATTTAGGACTTATTTAATAAAGTCTAAAGTCATTGTGCATTCAGATCATGCAACATTGAGATATTTATTGACTAAGCCAAATGCTAAGCCAAGATTAATTAGGTGGGTTTTACTTTTGCGAGAATTTGACCTAGAGATAAGGGATAAGAAGGGTAGTGAAAATGTTGTTGCGAATCACCTCTTTAGGTTAATTTCTCACTTTAACACACATGAACATAAAGAAAAAGACATTGCTGAAAATTTTCCTGATGAACAATTGTTTATTGTAAGTCGTGAGCCATGGTGTGCCGATATTGTTAATTATTTAGCTTGTGGTGCATTGTGGCCTAACCTTACTTTTCAGGAAAGGAAGAGATTTATATCCACTTGCAGGCACTGTTTTTGGGATAATTTTTATTTGTTTAAGCTTTGTCAAGATCAAATCGTCTGGAGATGTGTGCCCGAGGACGAGCATGAGAGCATTTTAACCTTTTGCCATGAACTTCATTGTGGGGGTCATTTTGGTGGTAAGAAAATGGCCCTCAAGGTATTGCAATCAGGTTTTTATTGGCTTACTCTTTAAAGATGCTCATACTTTTTGCGTGCATTGTGATAAGTGTCAAAGGAGTGGTAGCCTTAGCAAAAGGAAGGAGATGCCTTTAACCAATAATCTTGTGGTTGAGCTTTTTGATGTGTGGAGGATTGATTTTATGAGTCCTATTCCATCTTCGCATGGTTTTGAATATATATTAGTTGCTATTGATTATGTGTCCAAATGGGTTGAGGCTATACCTACCCGAACTGACGATGCCACATGTGTTGTAAAATTCTTGAAAGATGTGATATTCAACAGGTTTGGTATGCCAAGGGCAATCATTAGTGACGGAGGAAGACACTTCTACAATAAACTCTTTGATGAGTTGTTGAAGAAATACAATATCACTCACAAAGTAGCAACTCCTTATCATCCTCAAACCTTAGGCCAATTGGAGGTGAGCAATAGGCAACTCAAGGGAATTTTGGAAAAGGTAGTGCGACTTTCATGGAAGGATTGGGCAATAGAACTAAATGATGCATTGTGGGCATATTGCACAGCGTACAAAACACCCATTGGAATGAGTCCTTATCGATTGGTTTTTGGTAAGGCATTCCCCTATTGAACTTGAGCATAGAGCCTATTGGGCAATCATGGAGCTGAACATGGATTTGTAAAAGTGGGTGAGAAGAGTTTGCTTCAACTTAATGAGTTAGAAGAGATTCGAGATGAAGCCTATGAGAATGCCAAGATCTATAAAGAACGAACTAAGCATTACCATGACAAAGGCCTATTGTGTAAGTCTCTTTATCTGGGAATGAAAGTTCTTTTGTTTAACTCTTATTTTAATTTTTTTCTAGGAAAGTTGAAATCAAAATGGGGTGGACCGTTTCCAATAGTTCAAGTTTTTCCCCATGGAGCGGTTGAATTGTTAAACCCAAGGACTAATGAGACATTCAAAGTCAATGGGCATCATGTGAAGCCCTATTTGGAAGGAGTCCAAGGAAAGGGGACTGTTGAGTGCATTGATGTGCATGATCCTTGAACACGCAAGGGGAAATGTCTTGCCAAGACGTTAAAGAAAGCGCTTGGTGGGAGGCAACCCACCTATATTTGGTAGTTTCTTTCTTTTTTCTTGCTAATTTGTGTTTTTTAGGTTTTAGTTTTATTTATTTACTTATTTGTTCCCTTTAAATGCTTTTCTAAACTCATGCTTTCTTTGCAAACATTGAGGACACTGTTTAGTTAAGGTTTAGGGGTGCACAAATTTTGTT